CCTTACAAAAAACCCCGAGAAGAGCTCATTCCTCTCTGCTCTGTCGCATCCTGCTTCTCAGTTGGAGAGAGCTTCTATGCTTGGGGAATCAGAATGCATCCACGTGCCACCAAGCTAGGCCCTGAGCTTCATGAGGATCAAAGCTCATTTGGGACCTTGCCTGGCTATTAACTTGTATCCTTTATTAAACTGGTAAATGTGTTTTCCTGAGTTCTGTGAGCTGCCCTAGCAAATTAATCAAACCCAAGGGGGAAGTCATGGGAACCTTCAATCTGTAGCTGGTAGGTCAGAAGCACAGGTAACTGCCTGGGGCCTGCAACCATGGAGGGCAGTCTTGTAGGATGGAGCCCTTAACCTGGGGAATCTGGTGCTGTCTCTGGGCAGATAGCATCAGAAATGAGTTGAGTTCTCCAACACCCTGCTGATGTTCAAGAGTTGCTTGGTGTTAGTATGTGTAGGAAGACCCCCTCACACATACTTACAAACATGGGAATCAGGTCTGGGAACCTGAATGTAGTTATACTACTATTACTGCTGTATAATTATACTGTGTATAATATTATTATATATATATATTTAAAAATAAGTAGAAGCCAATAACAATGCCAGTCCCTTTATACTCTTTCTTTCTTTTTACACTGGATTCAGTGGACCTAGACTATCTTTATACCATGGAACCCTTCTTTCGGCATATCCAAATATAGTGAGTATATTTTGTAGGGCAGTTGGGCAATTTTGAGGTTTTGATTTTTTTCTCCATGGAACTCCTGATCCCAGAGTCTGGGAAAACCAGAAAACTAGAATTGAGCAAAGAGTAATTGGAATGGTAGCTTCAATTTATACTGTCTAGTTCCCATGGGTTTTACAGCAGACTGTTAAGTTATCTGGAGCCCTGTGGTGAGAACATTTCTGAGCTAAAACTTGGAGATCTTTTAATAAGGATGGTAACGCAAAAAGTAAGACAAAAAAAAAATCACCAGTGATCAGGAAAAGACTTATCTTGAAAATATACTATGGGCTATTGATAGCATTACTTTTAATGTATTTTTTGCCACCAGTATGGCTTGCTATGTGTTGCATTCAACAAAAAGTGACTCATAAATACTTTAAGGCCATAAGCTTTAAGGACAATCAATCAGATTTAAACAAAGCACTTGTTTTAAAATGACATATTTAAATCTTCAGCTACAAGGGCTTCTTTTAGCTTTAGTATAGAATCATGCCTTCTTTATTGAAGTTAATTGTATCAGGGAGTGAATAAGAATCACTCTTAATTTTATTATTTTTTATTGCAGCTCATTATCTGAATCATCAAAATATAATGATGATCAGGTTTTTAAGGAGCCTGATGTTTTGCTCTTCTTTGTTTTGCAGTAGTTTAAGAAATTCACATCATATATTACTTGTGAGCACCTATTGTGAGTGGGAAAAATAGTCAAAGACTCGTGATAGCTGATATTTCTGTACCTGATAACATAGCCTAATGGATTTCAGTGAGTTTTACAAAGGACCCAGCTTGCTATTTTTGTAACAATAAATACAAAAAGAGAATTATAGTTTTTAAAGAAAGCAGGACAAAATTATTTATATCTAATTAAATTGATTCATTAGCAACATTACAGTAACTAGCACACTAAGGAAAGTACAGTTAAATAATTAAATATGGAGGCACTGAATATTACAATATTGCATTGTTTTAATGAAGGTGTCAACTCCAATACTGACTGTCTGGTAGATAACAATGGGTTAAGGGCCTGGGACAAAAAAAGCTGATGGGATTTAAGGGGCAGAGATGGTGGAAAAGCAGAGATGTAAGTAATGAAGAAATGATTACAGTGGTGAAGGCTGAGCTAGTGTTCTGGAACCCAGTCCAAAAGGTTGGCAACATAGGGATAAAGGGAAGAGAGGAGACTTATAACCTAATATTAAAAGCCAAATGTGCCTTGTGGATCAATATACATTGGTTCAGATCTTAGTTCCACTTACAGCATGACTTCAGGGTTGGATCAGAGCCTGTTTTCTCATTTGTAAGATAGAAATAATAACACTTGCTTCTTATGGTTATTTCATGTGTACCCACCACCATTTGGCATTATCTTTGGACTTGTCTCTCCTCTTCAGGAATTTATATTTCAGTAGGTGAGGGAGTGTGTATACAAGTAATTGCTAGATTGTGATGCATGCAGTATATATATATATTCAAGGTTGTCTAATGACAGAAGATGGGAGTAATAAACTCAGCTTGAGTAAGTGAGGGGAACCTGCACAGAGAAGGAGACACTTAACACTTTAACACTTATGTTCTGTAATTGATTATCCAAGGTAGGCACTTGTCTTAGCTTGAGCTGTTGCAATATGAGTCATAAGAAATATGTTATTTATCACGCATATGACCAAATACATATTTCCCAGGTATATTTGGTCTCTACCCACAGTTCCTGAAAATGCTGTAGAGTCTTAAAGGTGAAATGGGTGTTTCATTATGTTAATGAGAGATTTTTGGACCCCCACCTAGGAGCAGGGGCTGGAGGTTGAATCAGCCAATGGTCACTAATTTAGTCAATCATGACTATGCAATGAAGCCCTTACAAAAAACCCCGAGAAGAGCTCATTCCTCTCTGCTCTGTCGCATCCTGCTTCTCAGTTGGAGAGAGCTTCTATGCTTGGGGAATCAGAATGCATCCACGTGCCACCAAGCTAGGCCCTGAGCTTCATGAGGATCAAAGCTCATTTGGGACCTTGCCTGGCTATTAACTTGTATCCTTTATTAAACTGGTAAATGTGTTTTCCTGAGTTCTGTGAGCTGCCCTAGCAAATTAATCAAACCCAAGGGGGAAGTCATGGGAACCTTCAATCTGTAGCTGGTAGGTCAGAAGCACAGGTAACTGCCTGGGGCCTGCAACCATGGAGGGCAGTCTTGTAGGATGGAGCCCTTAACCTGGGGAATCTGGTGCTGTCTCTGGGCAGATAGCATCAGAAATGAGTTGAGTTCTCCAACACCCTGCTGATGTTCAAGAGTTGCTTGGTGTTAGTATGTGTAGGAAGACCCCCTCACACATACTTACAAACATGGGAATCAGGTCTGGGAACCTGAATGTAGTTATACTACTATTACTGCTGTATAATTATACTGTGTATAATATTATTATATATATATATATGTGTGTGTGTGTGTGTAGGGAAAAAAAGGTGACACCACTATAGCTACTATAACAAAATACCATAGACCAGGTGGTTTAAACAACAGAAAATAATTTTTTTATAGTTCTGGAGGCTGGAAGTCCCAGATCAGGTTCTGGTGAGAGTGCTATTCCTGGTTGCAGACCACTGCCTTCTCCCTGTTTGCTCACAGGGTCTTTCCTCATTTTTACATGCTGAGAGAACTTTCTGGTATCTCTTCCTTTTCTTATAAGGCCACCAGTCTTACTAGATTAGGACACCAGCCTTATGACCTCATTTAACCCTAATTACTTCCTAAAATCCTTGTCTCCAAATACACTCACACTGGGGAGTTAGGGCTTCAACACAGGAACTGGGGGCATACAATTCAATCCGTGGCAGCATCTAGTTAGAGGCAAGCACCAAGGTAATAAAGACTAAGGGACAAAGGATACAGAATCCAAAGAGGCTGAAGGGAAGGAATTAGAAGCTCAGACATATAGCCTAGCACCAACAAGTCTTCACCAGAATTGAAATTCTTTAGAGTAAGGTAATTTTTCTCAGACTAGGAAATTTGCATATTTCCAACTTTTTATGGCAAAAGACATTCTCTAAGTGTGGCTATTTAAGGCCTTATGGTGTAGCTCAGTGGGTGTACTGGCTGAAGAAGTCATGCTGATAGAGAAAGGAGAGGAACTATTGTTTCATCCATCTTTTATTCTTCCATGGGGTCTGATACACTAGCAGATGTTCAAAACATTTCCGTTTGATTAGCTAGATAGGATAATCTCAATACAGAAAAACAAACATGTTTTTGGTTCAATAATGATAGAATGTACCTTCTTTTCAGAGAAAAAAAATTGCTTAATATTCCAGCAAAGGTGGGGTATTTGTTAAACTATCTAAATCACATATTCTACAGAAGCTCATTAATGAACTCAGTGAAGAGTAGTACATGCAAACAGAATGCTGTGATATAAATTCCATTTCTACATTTTCTCCTGTGGGCACAAGAGGATTGTATTGTGCAACCTCCTGACGGTAGATTAGGGCCACATGAGTAAGGGCCCAGGGGATGCGAGCTGATGTGAAATAAGCCACTTCTAGGCCTGGCCTATGAATGTATCTTGTATGGCTCTCAAACTCTTCACTGCTGGAGATGGCACCCTGACTTGAACCACGCATTTCATGTTCTGAAATTGTAAGTTAAAGGATGCTAACCTAACCTGAACTGGCTTTGTATGAGTGAGAAGGAAATTGTTTTTTGTGTTAAAGTCACTTAGATATCAAGTATAATTTAGCTTATCCTGACTAATTCAGTGTTCTTTCCATGTGTGAGGAAAGTTATTTTCTGTTCTACTTAATTCGGTTATACTTTAGCTTAAAAAAAAACCCTGGCAACCTGTTCAAATGTTATAATGACCCTTAATGGGTCCTGATCAGTAGTTTGAAAATACATTTTTAAAGAATGCTAGAGTCAGATAAGATAATGGGATCCTTGCCCTTAAAACAGATGGATTGAATCACCTTCTTAAGGACTCTTGGGGGTATGGTTCAGACTAATTACAATTAGATGGTTCCATTGTCTTCTTACTTAACTAAAATCCTACCCAGTCTTCTCATGGATTGGTAACAATGGAAACCAACTCCAGAGACTTGTCTTTTTCAAAACAAGGCAAAGACTATTAAAACATTATACATATTAATGAGGCACTCTATAAAAGGACAAAGGAAATGCGATACCACTTTTGAAATGATGGTATATTTTTGCCTCCTTGATCTGAGACTGTCTTACTGGGTCTTATTTTTAGCCACTGTCTTCTTCCATCTAGAGTTCCTACCCTTTCACTTCATAGCTGTGGCTTCCTGGAGCAATCTGGCTGTGGCACATTACCAGGAGCAATTACCCGCCAGGCTGTTCTTCCTCTTTGAGGCCTGAATCCTCCTGTATAAACAGATGAACACAAAGCCAGTTAGCTGCTAACCTTTTAACGAACACACATACTTAAGCTCTAAGAAAGGTCGCTCCCTCTCTAGACATGTGTCGCTGTGTAGGAAAACATTTCTCCCTATGCTCCCAGTACTCCAACCATGAAAACATTGCATGAAACTTTGAAACTGTTCTCAAAGAGAAGAATGTTATCAGTGTAACACCCTCATATTCCCTTTTGATGGACTTCTTTTTTTCTTTGCTTATTTTTAAGTAATTGTTCAAGAAAGAAGGTATTGGGCTTATAGATATGTCCATCTCCATCACTTCTGAAAAATGTAGAAAGTCTGGAGATCCTGGCGTATCCTAGCTTGAGATCTGATTCAGCCCACCCTCTTATCTGTGGGTTTCAAATTATTTTAAACCCTAATTTTTTTTTTCTACTCTGTCCCTATATGAACTGTTAAGAAGGTTGGATGATGACAAGGAGCCAAGTAAGCTTCCTGCTGATAAGAATTTCTATTTTTAAAATTTTTCATTAAACCATCTTAATATTTCAACATAATACATTAGAAGCAAATTTGAAACTGACTCCAACCTAACTTCTTCACAGGTTAAAATAATGCTCCAAGGTTATTTAGTTTGGAGAAAAAATGATTAGTAAATGCTTTTGCCAACATAGTTAAAAGCATGTGGTCATGCTCTTACAGAAGATTCCATATTCTTTGGATTGCTGAACAGGAAAAGAAATATAAGACAGTATATACAGATCACAAAGTGCTAGAAAAGGAGGACAAGTACAATTAGTTAATACTCAACTTTGGTGTTGCCATTTATAACAAGGTAGAGTCTATAAAGACTGGAAGTGATGCACTTACGTCAGGCATTTAAAGACAAAAAAAAATTATGGTGAAAGTTTAAGTACCATTCTGAGGGGACTTATTCTAGTCACAGTAAGTTGATCCCTACAAATAGTTCCTACCTTGATTAGGAAGTGTGATTGTTGCTTAAGGCCACAGGTAACTGGCATGAACTACAATTATGATAATTAGGTTAGTATATCCATGGTGGTTGCTGACATTTAGGAAGAGGTAGGAAATGCCAGAGTTATAAAGGAGTGGCATCATCTGAAGTACACAACCATGGAAGGTGATGGAGATTCCACTGTGGAGAGCAAATGGGGGGCAGACTCAAAGACCCTTGAATGTTATGCTAAATCAATTATTTTTCCTTTTACATAAATGGAAAGCCATCAAAGAAGCTTTAAAGCAGTGTAGAGGTCCTGTCTGATTAATGTGAAATTTGGATAACAATCCTCAGTGTGAAAGATGAGTTGGATGGCTGAGTTAGAGGAAAGGAAGTCAGAGATAACAATCTAAACTATAGGCAGGGAAGTAGAAATGCAGGTAGTGGGTAGAAAGGATCTCTAAATTTAAACAATGCAAATGTAGAATTGCTGGGTTAGGGGACCAACTGAATGAGAGAGTGAAGGAGAATGGGAAAGCAAGAAATGATCCATAAATAATCCCAAGCTTCCTTTCGTGGTGGTGATTGAATAGATGGTGATACAATTAAAAGAACATAGTAAGGAAGTGGGTTGGGGGATAATGATCATCAGTTCAGTATTGAACCATAAATTCTCAAGTTATGTTAGAGTGGACAAGTAGACATGAACCAAGAGAGGGCAGTGGAGGTCAGAAACCACCTGAACCCCTCAGCAGTAAACATCCAGGCTTTAAGGTTGACATATTTTGATCCTGTGGTTGACAAATCTTATATTGCCACCACAGTGCAGAATGAGATGAGCAGATAACAGGAAAATGGTGGAATGTGACCACTATACGTCCTTCTACTAGGGGCAGTGGCCCAAGAACCTCAAAATCCAAACAGTGCTTGTCAGCCCCACCCAGGTAGGGGCAGGGAACAGCTTGAAAGATAGGGCTAGCACATGGTCCCACCCTAGGATATGGCTTAAATTGAGTCAGGGGAGGAAGAACCCAATACTTAGGAAGTCATAACTTAAAAATCCAACCTTAGTAGTCTTCTTGAGTTGCCCATTTGGACCCCTCCAAGTGTACTTCCGATTTAACCTGATAAACTCTTTGCTACTTTCACTTGCAACCTTCTCTCTCAACTGAATTCTCTCCTTGAGAAGACAAGAAGCAGTGAAAATACAATGTAACCTATGGGTAACTGATTTATGATGCTCTTTGAAAACCAGGTCAAAGAGTTTAACTCTGATGCAGTAATTAGACAAAAACTATTGAAGAGCTAAATTATAGAATAATAAAGATGGTGTTCATGTATAATTTATTGTATATCCATATACATATGGAAAAATAAGAAGGGAAGAAAAACCCATCTTTCTGGTGATGTAGGCATAGTGATAGCAATACAAAAAATCAGGAATACACCACAGAGGACAGATTTGACATGATGTCATTTAAGGAACAAAGATCCTTAACCTGTTTCACATCTGTGTCTGAGTAAGAAGAAGGTGAATTCTCCATTTACACTAAGTCCTTCAGGTGGAGAGCTTGGCAAGTGAAGCTGATAGTGGGTGCCTTTGTGAAAATGGTAAAAGATGCCCCATCTTTATGGGTGTCTACAGCTTCATACTGGGACTCAACACTTGACATGGGAGTGTGGCCTGAATTTCAGCTCCCCTCCCCCATCCCTCTGACCAAGCTTCCCTGTGCATTTTGGGATCTGGGGATGTTGCTGTGCCAGAGGAAGGGGAGACAAGCCTGGAGGCATTTGACTAGATAAGAGAATAGGATTCTTATTTTAGGTAGATAAAGACTCTCTTGGGGAAGGAAGATTAGACTTTTCTAATGGTTTTACAGGGCAGAATTACAACCAGCATGCAACTATTTAGTACTAGCAGGTAAGTGTTTTAAGTAAATAAAATCACTTGAAGCATGACTGATTTTCTTGGGAGACAGTGAATTCAGTCATTAGAAGTGATGAATGGAGTATGGAAACCTAATTGATACAGATTTTACAGAAGAAGTCTTCAAAAAATTCTTTTGAGTCTGCGATTTGACAATTATTTGCCAAATGAGTGTTATGGCCAGTAAATTCAGGACCACAGAGGTAAACTGACTGTGGCTGGAATTGAGAAAGCAGAACATGGTTTGGTTCTTGAAGGAGGAATATTTCCTCAAATACAAAGTATGGGGGAGAAAATAGAAGAGCCTTTTACTTAACTTTGAATATATGCATAGCTGTATAATGTTTACTGCAGTCAACTATGATTTTTCCAAGGTACCAGATCAACTTTGGCCAGAAGTCCTACTTGAATTAACTGATTTTTCTAGCAGAAGTTATCGTGAATGAAATCCTGACTTGACTTTGGCTAGACCATGTCTATTGTCTGCCTGCATTTCCCAGATGTTTCAATATAGATAATTGGATAGCTAGTATTGTTTTTTTGTTTCTGATCCATTGCTTTGATTTGATATACTTTACATCTGAGACATCAATTTTATTTAAAATGGAGGTCTTCAGTATTACCTAACTGTAAATAAGTATACAGGTATGAAGTGTCTGTGCTGAACTGAAGTAAGAAAGAATGATAATTATCAAGTATCTTGTCTCTGTTTAAAAATTAATTAGCCAACTAATTTAAGGAAACAACTTTTTTTTTTGAAAAAATTGTTAGTTTATAAATATTAAGTGTTTTCAAATACTTAAACAGTGGAGAAAGTTGAAAGAATATGGAGAAAGGAAAGCAGCTTGCTAAAAAAGGACAAGAGGAATCTGAGCCAGCAGGTTAGTTACACAGCTAATGTTGCTCTGTCTTTACAAAGAATAAATAGAAGGTCAGGAAGATATAAGTCCAATTTCCTGGTTCAGGAAGTTGCTGCACAGCTTGGAAGATATCCTACTTTCCAACTCATAGCCCTCGTTGGAGATTAGACACAGGTTCTGACAGATCAGAGTGTCTAAGAGTTAATGCTTTTAGCAAAGTAGAACACTGAGTCTGACAATTTGGTATACCCAAACCTATTTTTATGATAGTCATGTAATCAGAATTGCAAGTAATAGAGGAAAATGAACATTCAAAACATCAGTAGTACAGTAAACACATGAACTCAGCAAAACTCAAATACCTTATCATTTCAAAAAATGGATTCTTATTGAATTCACAGAAATTCATTCTTCAATATTTGTTCATAGAATGCCCACCATGTGACAGCCTCGTAGGACGGGAACAGCAGCAGCTACAGCAAAAAGCATCCAATGCTTCTTTTTTAATCAGTCATTGTGATTGTCTTGATCTAACACACAACAACTAAAACAATAATTCAATTCGAGTAGCTTTATTTAGCAACTAGAAAAGTGTATCCTTATGGGACATCAACTATTAATGAATTTAGGGTACTGTAATTGTTACTGAATTAAAGGAACCTTATGTCAACATAAGAAATAAAATATTTTACAAAATAATATTTACTCTGTCTTATGTGGCAATTTGTCATAGTTTATTGCCATTTGGCATGAGTATAGTGTAAAATCATGTTCAGTATTGTAAGGTGTTTTTGTATTAGTTACCTGTTACTGTGTGACAAACTACCACTTGAAGATGGAGCCTTGTCTGCCAGTTCCTAGATCTGCAAATGCTTGCTGAATCAGAAAGGTGTTGACTCCAAGTACTCATTGAATCAGACCATTGCTGTTTTCCTTAAAGATGAGAAGAAACCCTCTCTCTCCACTTTGGCCAGATTTTGTCCTTCAGGCTCCAGAGCAGTATTGTGTATGCCTTTGTCTTACAGGGATCTTCCTGAGAACATTTCTGTTGATCTCTGCTGGCAATTCCTCTATCACAGAGTGTGTTGGTTAATTTTATGTGTCAACTTGGCTGGCACTGTGGGGTGCCCAGATATTTGGTCAAACATTATCCTGGTGTTTCTGTCAGGATGCCAGAGCACCAGGATGAGGTTAACATTTAAACTGGGAGACTTTGAATATAGCAGATTGGCCTTCATAATGCAGGTGGGTCTCATCTAATCAGTTAAAGACCTGCATAGACCAAAAACACCAGTCTGTCATGAGCAAAATTCTCCAGCTCACTGGTCATCAGACCAAAAGTGCAGCATCAGCTTTCCTGTGACTCTAGCCTGTTGCTCTACTATGCAGAGTTTTCCAGCCTCTAGTATAAGCCAATTCCTTAGAATAAGTCTCTTTCTCTGTATCTGCATACCCTATTGGCTCTGTTTCTCTGGAACCCTGACACAAGGTTATACTTATTGCACGATGGTGGGCAAGACAGATGACAGGATGCCATGCAATCCTCTCCACCATCCCTGTCATGGCCCCAGTGCAAGTTGATTCAAAATTCCTCTAACATACACATATGTGATTCTAGAAGTACACATAACCTTGTGATGTACATATTTGTATATACAGAGCTGTCACTATTTTGGACTGCTTTCCCAAAATAGATTCTGAGAAGTGGAATTATTGGGTCAAAAGTTGTGTGTTATTTAAGGTTCTTTGTTCATACTGGCAAATGGCTTTCCTCAAATATGTCATTACTGGGCCTTTATCACTAATTTATATTTACATTCATATAGCGCATTGTTATTCTAATTAGCACTTCTTTGATTACAGTCAAGTGGAACATATTTTTTAAGTTTATATGCCATTATCATCTCCTTTTGAGAAAATTGTCTTTATATTTTTTTACTCATTTTTTGGGTGGGTAAGGATGGGAATTAGGACATTAACACTTTATCTTTTATATAATTTGAAAATATTTTTATTTTGTTGCTTGCCTTTACATGTTTACAAAGTTGTGTTTTATTTAAGTAAAGGAAATATATATTTTTTTCAGTGAATATTTGGAAAATACACAAAATCACATAGAAGGAAATAAAAATCACCTGATTTCCCAGAGATGACTATTACAAACATTTTGCTACAAATTCTTCTAGTCTTTATTTGTGGCTATATTTTGTTTTCAGGAAAATATAGTAATATTGTGTAGTCCTCTTATACTATTTATAATTTTTTCCCTAGAATATTAAATGAAAATCTTATCATTTATTAAATATTCTCTTACAGCTGATTAATCATCTTCCTGTTGGGAGATTTTTGGTTATTGTCAATTCTTACCATTTTTAAATAGGGATGAGCATCCTGGAAAATCAATCTCTCTGTACAACAGAATTTTAATTTGTTATGGAAAAAGAGGCATATTTTAAGGCTTCTGATAAATATAACCAATCTATTCTTCAAAACAGATTGGTTATATTTATATTTCTATAGTACATTTACACTTGTATAGTAATATAAGAAAATGCTTGTTTTTCTGTAGTCCCAACAATATTTGGTGTGATTATTAAAAACAACACCAGCAGAAAATAAGTTTGACAATATTTAGGTTAAAATGAGTTATACCTGTCTCTTAATATTCATTCTTCTATTCATTCAACTAGTAATTACTGAGGATCTCCATGGACTAGGCTGAGTTCTGAGAAAAAGCTAATAACCCCTCCTCTTCCTGAATCATTTTCTCCATTTTTGGGTCAAAAGAAATTTTTGACATAGATTTTTCCTCATAAGTATCCAAATGTCTCAAGAATATACGGTGTCTCCCCTATTTCTCAGTTTATAGCACAATTACTCAAACAGAATATTTTAACCAGTGTCATTGCTGTTAAGGCCAATACTCTAAATGGCAGTATGGTAGTTCCATCTTAGTAACCTTTTTTTTTCTTCTTATACATTACTGATTTTTATTCAAATCAATGTAATGTAGAGGGTATGGACAAGCCAGTTGTACAAAGGTCTCTGGAAGAAACTGTGAAATAAAATTGAGAGGAGGTTTGTTATTATAGAAGGTGGATTTTGAGTCAGAAAGATGTTAGCCCTCACTCTTGCATTGTAACCTTGGATAAATTATTTAGTTGCCTCTTTTGTGAAGTGTTACTTATATAACATTTTTCTCACTGAATAAAAAATTCTAGAAGAGTATCAGCCACTTAGTGGAGACTAAGGATTTTTGGTTTCAGCCAAACTTTGTCTCCTTTTAACAATCCTATCTCAAGTTTTGCTGCTCTGTGTCTGAAGCATCCCGAGTCCTCACTGCTGATCTTGGAAAACATAGATCTCCACTGGAGAGGACCAACATGTGCTTTCTTCTCTAAATGCACCTTGTAATATGAACCTGTCTTGGTCCTGCTCATGCACAAACTGGAGCCTATTTTCCACAATGATAACCAGTTTTCATGAGAACTATGAACTCTGTATGGGCAGAAAACATCCTCTGTTGCATATTTCTGTATCCTCGGTGCTTACCCAGTATAGTGTCTGGTATTCTGGAGGTCCTTCTTGATTATTTATTGATAACTATTCATCTGACCTTGGATGATAAGGGCTCACATATTAAATCTCAAGAGTATTTTTTTTTCTTATTTCCATGTCCCTTCTTTGTTTTACCTGAAGGTATCGTACATACCTATCAATTCAGAACTTAAATGTCCCCTTTCCTAGAGACAGGGACCTACTACAGGTCCCTGATGGAATAAATTACTCACTTCTTGATGTTCTCCAAGCACTTTGTCTATTTACTCTCATCATTTTCTCCCATTGGGAGACCCTGATCTCTTACTTATCGTTGAATTTCTAGTACGCAACATACTAAAGAAAGTCTTCAATAATCATTTGTCTGAATTGAATGGAGAGGAACGCTTTGCTTAATCATTTCTATGACTTTAAATTTCAGTTTGTATAAAGGAGAAGCCAGTTTATAATGTACTTGAAGAACAGTAAGTAAAATGAGGTAACATGCAATAATCAGGAGGTGCAGGGGGTTGAGGAGACAGGTTTTAATTGGTGGTCCCATAGTTGATGGGTGTATGTTCAGGGCCCAACTTGCCCATTTCTCTGGCTTCCTCTATTCTCTGCCTGTTGCCAGCAGGAAACCCACTAGGGGGCATCACATTTCATGTAATTCAGCATAAAAGAGATAATGCTCTGCCCTTACAGACATACTACTATCCAGATTCCAGGCACCAAGACTGGCTCATGGGCAGATATTTATATTTCTCAAAACACACTCACTTGTCTGCATAAGAATGGTCCTGCTGAGACAAGTCCATGGGCCGTCCTCATGTAACTCATTAAAGGAAATGTGTGGGTAACCAGAGCTACAATGGAAAGCAGAGGGGGTAAATAAGGACCAGTTTCAGAATCTAATTGGTTGTCTTGAAAATCTGTTACTTCACCCTTGTAATACTTCATAATTTTGTGTTATTAGTAAATTTAATTATCATGCTTTTGATTCAGGCTTTCAATCCCATGACTAAGGTGTTTTTAAAAAAACCAGACTCGTATTTCCTAAGGCTTTTAGGAGACATTTAACTGTTTTCCTGTGATAATTTCTGAGAAATTTTCATTTATCATATATGGCCTTAGACCATCACTGAATCTGCAGTTAAGAAGAAATTTCTTTCTTAACTCCATATTTTATAGTTGAATGTTCACTTCCCATTGTCATCTTTGAAACACTGGACAAAACTTAACTCAAGTATTGATGGTAGAATTTTCACAAGGATACTCCCAGTAGTTGCAATGTTGATAGAAAAGTGGACATTTCCTCATTTTTCCACAGCCCACTACAACCTGCATTGCTGTGGAGTTGAAAGAGGGAAAGTAAATATTATTGAGGAAAAAGGATTTAGACTTGGAAAAACATTTTCTTCTTTTAATATTTCTAATTTTACTTCAGCAAAAGGAATGAATGTTTTTGTTTTCAAACATCAAGTAATCTATGGATTTCGAATTTTCTACCAGTTATCTGTCCATATATGGAATCAACACATGCAGGAAAGACTAGGAGACTGAGTACTTAATTTTTAAAAATAAAACTGATGAGACTGCAAATGATATTCAATCCTATTAAAGAGACTAAGCAGAGACCTTAAAAAGAAAATCCTTACATTCCTTGCATTGGGATCGTGTGATATGGTTCCACAATTCAGGGAGATTGGAAATTACAGAACATCTACAATGAAATTGGTTTTCTGTGGAAAACTGATGAATTACTTACTGCCAATGACTAGAAAGAAAAGCACTTGTTTATGCCCTTATGTAATGAATTTTTATGAGGTGAAGTTTGCTGTTTATAAAAAATACACTTTAAGCTGCTGTAGATGTAAAATAATAGAATTCAGACTTCAGAGCAATGTATTACTGCAAAGACAGTCCCTAGCAGAATATTATCTGCTTACAAAACACCAAAACAGGCTTATTACTTTTATAATGGAATTAAAAAAAATATCTCATCTACCCTGTTGGATTCTAGAAGAAAAAGTGTTTAAAGAGACATAGCTGAAATTGACAGCTTCAAAATTGCATGTATTTTCAAAGAAAAGTTATTCTCTTCTTGTGCTCCTGAATTCCAACGGTTTTTTCCCTCAAAGCAACAATCCCACAGAACATTTTAAATTAAAAATGGCATTCCTAAGATAAACTACAAAGACAAACTGGGGGTGCTGGCCCCTCTACACTGTTACAGAAAAGTATGTAGATATCTTCCCCAAATAATACCATCAGTTGTTCTGCTCAATAATGTGAGGAGCTTCATGATCAAACTCCAAACTCTTGCCTTCTTCAACCACATACTGAGCATCTGTATTGCATCAGTCACTGGGGCTGCAGTATCACCAAGAAAGAGGGACAAACAGTTTCTGTCCTCACCGAATTCAAAGTCTACTTTGCTGTTTAAGAATTATCTTGTTGAAACTGAGGAACATCACACACAGTTTTAGATGGAGGGTCATTGCTTTCACATAATTCATTTGCCTTTTGTATTTGATAGGAGGTAAGCATTTTTAAAGCAATTAACCATACTGCAGTACCTTATAATTTTGTTGACTAAAAGGGCACTCTTACACATTGATGTGGATTTAAAAGTAGAGGCTGTCAAGAGAGGATGCTATTTTCTCAATGCTTAGTGAGATGTGTTTACCAGGGAACTGTCCTGGAGACATCTCAGAACCGAGCAGCCCCTGGCTCCATTAATTCTGAATTGTGACTATTTAGAAAAAGTCTCAGCTGAAGTTCAAGTTTGCATTATATCTTATTGGCAACTGAACCATAAAAGTACTTTTGAAATGTCAGCATTTTTGTGTCCACATCTGGAAGGAATACAAAATCCTGGACCAGACCCTGTCTTGATTCTTAGTTGAGGAAATATGGTCAACCCATAGGCTTAGGTGAACTAATATACAAGTATTCATGTCAACTGTTTTGATCTGGTGTATTTATTTTAGATACTTTGACTAAATTATATTTACACAAATACTGTCCATTTATTTACAAAGATTATACAAGTACTTTAGGAAAATGAAGTGAGAACTTTTTACCTTTTGTTGCCTACATACTTCTAAGTGGTTTTAAAATATATANTTACTAGCTGTGCACTTTTTTTTTTTAAAGTTTAAAATCCGCTTGTTGCTTACAAACTGCAGTCCTGTGCAGACATTTTACCTCTGAATTTAACTGGAACAAATTTGGCCACAAGATTTTAAATAAATAACTTGTTCTGGTTTAATTAAAAAGTATTATATGCTCACTGTAGAAAATTTGGGAAATATAGAATAGTATAAATCAAAGTTGAGTTACAAAGACATTTATTTATTGTAAGATGCATGTGTCTTTCATAGTTGAGATATTACTTAATATCTTCCTTCATTTTAGTATATCGTATGTTTTTATGTAAAATTATTCATATAAATTTTTGCATAAAATTATTTTCCATGGCATTTATACAATGTTTGGGTCAATTAAATAGTTATACTGTTTAATTTATTCCCCTACTATTGAGCATTTATGGTGTCTAACATCTTTCTTTATTGTGAATAGTGCTAAACTGAATATCACTTCAATAAATCTATATCCAAATACAGTTGGCTCTTGAAAAACGGGGGGAGAGGGAAGAGGAAGAACAGTTAGGGGTGCCAAACCCCACACAGATGAAAATCGACAGATGACTTTTCAATCCCCAAAACTTACTACTAACAGCCTACTGTTGACCAGCTTTACCACTAACCTAAAATAAATTAACACATTTTGTATATTCATTATATATTGCACTCTCACAATAAAGTAAGCTAGATAAGCACAATAAAGTAAGTTTTTTTAAATTGTCACAAATGTCCAGAGATTTTTCCAATATATTTACTGAAAAAACCTGCATATAGGTGGACCTATGTGGTTCAAACCTGTGCTGTTCAAGGGCCAACTGTACTGATATTTCCTTGAGGTATGTTCTCAGGGTCAATGGATATAAACATATCCACAGCCATCTGATTTTAAAATTAGCTTTACTCAAGTTTCATTGGCTCTGGGATTTCAGCAAAGGCACAGTTGAGTCTGTTAAGGAGAAAAAGTTACTCTACTGTTAATGAGAAGGAAAGTGAACTACTTATTGAGTTCCGTGCTTTTGGATTTCCTAGCAATCCAAACCAGGAGAAACTTGGTTTAACATTTTTTTGACTTGTTTTAATTGCCAGAAGACAACTCAAGGCAATATTCTACGAAGGCCATGGTATAAAATGGTGTTTACTTTTTAAAAAAATGTCATTTTAAAACCATAAGCTTTTTCCTGAAAATATTGAGAGAATAAGAGACTACCAGGAAATTTGAAGGTATATTTTGCTTTGTTTCATGATTTATGTACTCTTTGAAGGAAAAAAAGTCCCAGAGATACAAGTCAAGTACTTGCTAACTTGCTTTGGTTAAGAATAGAGATGTATACACTACATATTAAATTTGGCAGCAGAGAACCGTGGAGTATCAGTTCTACAGACAATATGGCCAACTGGCTTTGGCCAAAAAGTATGTTTAAAATTGTTCTGTTACTGAAAATATCTCTTCTTAATTCAGTAACATTTATTGAGCGCTGTTAGAAAAATAGCTTTTTGTTAAAAGTAAAATGTTCCAAATTAATCAAGTTTTTGCAGGTGAGTACCAACATTACTTTGAAGTCTTCCTCAAAGAGAGCAATACTAATGTCCCTGCCTTCTTAAGCAAATCATACAGAACAAAAGGTAGCTTTATTGATCCTGTCATTTTTTTAAAAACATATTTAATTTTTACTAAACATTTCCCATTCTAAATGTTACCAGATTATAGTATTAAAAGAATTTTTTTTCATTGATACCATATTTTCTATTATTTATTGTAAACATTCCTATTATATATATAAAAAAAGCTTGCTTTTACCAGTTTATTCCCTCCCTCTTACCTGTTATTTTTAGTCTGTTGTTGAAAGTTCATTAGAATTCTATTCAAATAAGCTGCCTCTAAATGTTGACTCAAGAAACTACCTCATGTGAAGAGCTTTGGAGCATGGAATCTGTTGAAGTCTATTTTAGTTTCCTAGGGTTTCGTTTACTTCCAGGTTCCTGACCATTTCAGATAGTGATACTGTTAATGTACCACAAACTAACAGAAATAACAATCATGGCTGACACCAAAGATTATTTGCTGTAAGCTTTGACCTGGTTTTCTTGCTTTTACTCATACCTCTCCACACATTAGTCATAGTGAACCTTTAAAAATGTAAACTTGATGTTACCTCTCTGCTAAAAATCTTCTGCTGACTTCCTTATTCTTGGAATAAATCCAGGTATTTTTTCACCATGGCCTGCATGGCCTAGCCCTGGCCACCTCATCTCACTTGCTCATTCCCTACCTCTCCTGTTTCTCACTCTGGTTGCCATTCCCTCACTAGGCAATGGACTTCCACCTCAGCTTGGCCACTTCCTTCTCCTGGCACTCCTTCTCTGCTTGGCTTTCTCCCTCATTCCATTCAGATCCCTTTTAAAATTTCAGTTCCTCAGAGAGGTCTTCCATGAGTGTCCACTTTAAGACAGCATCCTTTGTCTCTCTCCATTCCCTTAGCCTGTTTTGTTTACTTCAGAGTACTGACATAGAAATTTTCTTTCACATTTGTTGTCTATTACTCCCTCCAAGAATGTAAACTCCATGAGAACAGGGGTTTTGTTTTATTCATGAATATATGTCTGAGTACCGAAGAATATCTGTAGGGGCTCAATTAAATAATTTTTCAAAGAGTAAGTGTGGGTAAAATTGCAATATTTCCAGAATCTCTCACCTGGCCTTGGTGTATCTCCATATCAATATGTGTTTCCAAGGGGTGGAGAGAGGTAGCCATCTCCATATCAATAGGTGATTTACAAGAGGGAGCAAGGGCATATCTGGACCAGAGAGGTTTGGTGGAAGCCCCTTTTTTGCAGCCAGGTTGCGAGAGATACAGGTGAGCAGAAGTGGATGACTGCTTGTAAGCAATAAATGGATTTCTCCCACTTTATTTCTCCTTTTGACTGATTTTGGCTCCAAAGGTAATTTGTCCCAGCTGGGAACATATTTTTCCCCCAGGGTTAGAGTAAGTTATTTAATTCCCATTACAGTCCTAAGGTAGACATTATTGAATGTGCACTTCATATGTTGATCACACTGAATCTTAGAGAAATTAAAGCAGCTTTTCCAAAACCCACAGTCATTGAGTATTGAAGGTACAGGGGCGGGGGCCAGGGAGCAGGACATGCCTTGTGTTAGCTTTGATTGCTGTGTTAGTATTTTAGATATGATCACTGAAACCACTGGATATGCTAACTACACAAGTAGCAAATCTGATGGGAGAGAAAAAAAAATGTTACTGTAAAAGTTTTTATTTTCCCAAGGGGAGATGCTCATAGCTGATGGTTAGGTTTTTGAGGCTGAAGTAGAAACATATCAGGTAGCTAAATATAACCCCATTTACCTGAACCTCAAGCCCTGAGACCACTGGGGTGTGGGAACAGAAGCTCCAGTGTTAAAGCAAGTCTCCTGGCAGCGCACAGGCAGGCAGGCACAGAATGGAGTCTGGGACTGTCAGCAATGTGGCCAGCAGGCCTGGCGCTCTACAGTTAGGCAGACCTCCAAAGGCAGCACTTAGTGCACAGCCAGTCATAAACCCAGGGGTTATAGGTTGAACGCTACCTGCATGAGCGCCTTGTGTGCCAAGTATCCCTACAAGTAAGAGAAACAAAAATAGTAAACTATAAATAAAAACAATGGTATTACGTGTGGCACACAGATAGCCACTTAGCTCCTCCTTCAAGGAAGGACCTGTTGCCCAGAGGTGGGAAGCGGGGTCAGCAGACTGTCTCCAGCTGTTAGCTCCTGCAAGGTCTGGCTCAGTGGCCCAGAGATGTCATGTTCCAGGACACCCGTTCCTGGAGCAGCCCACATACAGTGAATAAGAGCTGTGGGGAAAAAGGCCTGACAATTTGGGACCAATCCAAGACATAACAGACACTAGCCCCAGAGTACCCCTCAGGGTTGGCTGAGGCTGTCAGGCCTACATTACAGTTCTCATTCCATTTTTCTTTCTTCTGCCTCTTCCTGCTTCTTCATTTCTTTTCATAGGTGTGGACCCAGAATGAGTATCTTGTACTTCAAACCCCGCAACACCTGTTTCTGCAGAACCCACTCTGTGATGTTTATGTTTAGTCGCTCAGCTAATAAAATGTCTCTATTGGTGCACTGGATCGAAGAGGTAGGCTTTGGTTATTTGGTGCTGAGCAAAACAGACTCTGACCCCTGGGGGTAATCGCTTAGTGGTGTGGTAGACATTAAATAAAAATTAAACATTAAAAAAAGGTCTTGTATTAAAGGTCTTTAGTGACTGTGAAAAGCCATTAAGCCCCCATAATACTGACAACTCTATTAGCATATAGGTAAAGAACTGTGTTTTCATGTTACAGTTTTAACAATATGGGCACCTACTCAGAATTTATTCTGCTATCAAATGACACCATAATGAAAATGTAGGTATAACAGTATTTGTTTTTATTCAATCCTTTTAAATCGGTAATCTAAGATAAGCATTTAGTTATTTATGTCCTTATCAAACAAGATCACTGGTGGAATTATACACTGCATGTTAATTTTTCCTATAAAGGCAAATGTAGACTCACGTAGGATCTATTGTTTTTACCTGCCCTGTGTCCACTACTCTTGCAATAGCACCTCCGTTTCCTGTGGTGAACCACCCACTCCTTGATTTTAGGTTCAGGTGGTACATGTAAGTGTGTGTCACTCACATTTGTGTTATCAGAAGCAGTATTTTTCCATCCTGGCTCACGAATATGCACATAATCCCAGGTGCATCAAAGACAGTGAGCTCCTGGACTTTGCTGAAACTGTTTAGGAAAGAAGTTCTCATTCCAGTGGGATCAGTAGAACATGTAAGTCTTGAGATTCCAGTGACCCTCATTTTGCCTGTGAATGAAGCCAACTTCAAACCTCTTAAAAATTGGCTTTGGAGAAAAGCTGAATATTACAACTGGGCATCAGATCTTAAGGTTTAAAACAATAGGGTATTATCACCCTCAGATTATGATGATGTTATAACATCACTGAAAATAAATACACACTCATCCTAGAGTCTCCAGAATCTTTTTTTTTTTTTAAGAGTCTAACCTCTTTCCCGGAAATAGCAAAATAAAGAAGCATTCTTAGTAGTCATCTGACAAAATGTGTCATACAATTCTTGATATTAAAAACTGGAAGCAATGACTTAAAAAAATAATTATCATTTACATAATATATTTAGAATCATGTGGTTTCCAGAGATTAGAATTTAGTCATACCTGGAAAGGAACAGAAGATAGTGGCTGACAAGTATGTGCCCTAATAAAAGACACATAAATGGTAATCTTAGGATGAGTAATATTAAGAACTTGAATGTAATACTGTTTCTTAGAGAAAATAATTTTAGTTTCTAAAGAGCATTCACTTCTGACATCTCAATTCCCGACTTCAATGGCTGTAGACTGTGTACCTCTGTGCCACACTTGGGACAAGTAAAGTACATGTCAAATAAGAAACTACTCTTAACACAGTAATAACAGAAGATGTGCTCACATCCTATGGAATGGGGCATGGTGGGCCACTCTCCGCACAGAGCACACTGTTTGCCCCTGGTGACTAATGCATTGTCGCTATTAGGAATGCCAGTCAGAGGGATACACCATGAAGATAACTTGGCTTTCAACTTCTGGATATTGACAAGTGGTAAGAGAAAAATCAGAAACTCGGCAAAACCATGCCAGAGAAGTTCCCGATTCATATACTCAAAGCCAATTTCACGTATGTTTTGGGGCTTGCAATATACAGAACGAATGCCTAGGAGACGTTCTGTCAAAGTTGCAAACTTGCCCCTTTGAAGGAAAATCAAGAAATTAATCAACTCACCTAATTTTAAAAGTCCAATCACAAAATGCACACACTGCTTGGCTTTCCCAAATGATGCTAAACGGTGGTTTCGAAACAAATCATAGCATCGTTCTTCTAACCACTTCCCACCAATTGTACAGACAGCGTACCAGAGCTTTTGATTTTTACTTGGTGGCTGGTATTTCAGGTTTGGGGAGAAATCGTTTTTGTACTGAATATTCAAAACTGACTGTCCCACAGTGGCATTTTTAGAGTAGATGGTGAATCTCCACAAGAAAAGCCACAAGAGCGCTTTCGCCTCTGGTTCAAAATGGGCCAGCAGCCCGGGCTTAAACCCATGGAAGCACTGAGTGAATTGGGACCAAACCAGCTGTTCCAGTGCCTTGTTTAGTTCAAGGGCATCCAACTGACTTATCCTCAGCACTCTGCTTGTCCTCTTTGTATTGTCTTCTCTGGAAGCCATATCTTCTTTGAAGATCTCTAGGAAAAGATACAATTAGGGAGCACCATCAGTTATACCCTCTTACTGTAATACTCAACTCACTTGGAAAACAGTGATACATAAATGCCTCAGGACACATATTAGATGGGCCTTCAGTAGTGTCAAAACAGCAGAGTGAACAACCACTTCTTCAAGGAAATTCCTTCTCTTCCCTCTCCTCCCTCCCTCTTTTTCTCTGCTCCCCACCCCCCCGCAACCCCCTACCAGGACCTGTTTTTGGCCTCCTCATCAAGAAGACACAAACAGGTCTTAGTAAGCGGTATCCTATTTCCACAAATTACCTCTACGTAATCTAACATGTTCAGATATTTTAGCCCGGAGATGATAAAATCCTGAAGCTAACAGTGATAAGGCTGAATAATAACATGACTAATGGAGAAATACATGAACTTAATACATACAATGAACTTTATGGGACACTGCAGTGGATGGTAAGTCAAGATCTCAGTTTAACTTCCAGCACTTCAACTGACTCAAAGGTGTATTTTTCAACAAGTCATTTTATCTTTCTTAAGTACATTTTATATATGTAAAGGAAGTTAGAAGAACTTTTCTTCTGAAGAAAATAATTACTAGCACAAAGCAACATGAATGCAGAAATGTCATTACCAAGCTACTAAAATAGCACACATCATACAGTTTTCTAAGAAAGAAAACTGATGTAAAAATATATACTAAGATCATATCATGAATATACTAAGTAAACAAATAGTTGCTAAAGGGACAAAAGTCTTTTAAAATGAAATAGAAGCTGATTAATGGTTAGCTAGGTATGACTGACTCATTCAAAACACATTTATTAAATGCCTATGATATGCAAGCCAAAGTGATTAAAATACCCAGCGGCTGCTGTTGTCAAAGAATGGACAGACCAGTTTAGATATTTTACATATTATTAATGAACAGGCAGATCCAAACTATCACAAGAAATCTGTTTAAATTTAGTTTCTAAAATAGGCTTTGAATACATGGATCTTGATCCTGATCTCTGGGCTTTCAAAGGGTCCAGTGCGCTAACCGGAAGAACAGGACATTCTTCCACTAATTGGGAGGCAGGTGTCCTGCTGAAGCTCACTGCTACCAACTGTGTAGCCATTGTGATCTTGTGTAAGTCACTTCACCTTATCCCTGCCTTGGTTTCTTTACTTATATAACTAAGGGCAGGAGACAAAATGACATCTGAAGTCCTTTCAAATTCTATTATTTAATGAGTTTTACTAAAAAGATGTTTAATATAATTTGTTAGAAGTTAAGATTGAAAAATGCATCCTAAATTAAAATTATACTTCTTGAAATCGGGAATATCTTTGAGAATCAACAAAGTTTTCAAGAGGGACATTTTTAAATTACTCCTGGATCCTAGATGACTCAGTGACAGAAGACTACACACTTAACAAGATCAAGCATAGGTAACAAAAATGACTATTAAATAATAGGTTGTTTGAGGCTGTTTTCCTCTCACACCAGATATATGACAGGAATACTTCTCACCAACATATGCCATCTGCCTTCTGTGGTGATCTCACCTTTTTCCCCTTCCTGCAGCTCCCTCAAGACTTCACAGCCTATTGCTCTGGCAGTGGGGATTTTTGCTGCAAATTCTTCTGTGAAATCCTTGCCTCATACTAGCCAGGAGCTACAGGAAAGAAAGAAGGGGGTTAGGACGATGTTCCTTTTCCTCTCTCTCTACACGTCTAATCAATCCAGGGTCTGTTCTTTGTCCAGAATATTTTTCTAATCCACTCATTACTTTATCCCCCTGCAAGCCTTTTCCTAAATTCTGGCTGTCCCCATCTCTCCCCTGATTACTTCAATTTGTCTAGCTTGCCTTTTGCCTCCTTCCATGTATTTCCTACACTGCAGTCCTTGGATAATACAAGCCTCCCTAAATCTACCCCACACTTGCTTTCTTTTCTAATGCTTCGACTGCTAGTTATGACTTCTCTTGTTCACTTGTGGACACTTTCTGTCTGTCCCTTCATTTGGGACAGTGTGTTCCTATTCCTTAACTGGAAAACTCACAGTAAGTTTTTAAGCACTGGCGTAGGCATCTCATCCTCCTGTCTCTCCAAACTGGAGTGAAGCTGCCTCTTCTGGTTGTTTCCTTAGCACTCTCTTCTTCCTCTTTCTTGGCCTTTATGCATTATACATAGACCATTTTGCTACTTTAGGTACTATACATAAACTACTTTTTGTTTATTTCCCCCACTAGAGGACAAGCCCTATTGCAAAGAATTTTTGAGTCTTTGTCTCAGTTCCCTCTTAGCAACTAGCACAATGCCTGGATCACAGACTAAATCCTACAAATATAGATGAATAGATTAATTAACAGGATAAAAATCTAGCTTGAGTGGAGGGTAAAAAAATACAAATTCTCCTCCTTTAACTTTTTAAACTACCATATCCAAACTGTTGATTACTACTTATTTCAACATGTTTTTCTGTGCATCTATTTACCAGTTAATATGCTGGAGCTAGTGATACAGTATTAGAACAGACACAGTTTCAACCCCTGTGGAGACTATATCATAGTGTTGGGAGAATTAAGAATGTGCTATATAAAATGATAACCAGGCAATTGTGATAAGGTGGGATAAGTGATATTCAAGGGAAATTCAGGGCCTCATGCTTACAATTAGACCTCAGAAGGTCAGAGAAGTCTTTGTAGAGAGGTAACATCTAAGTAGCCATTGGAGAGGCAGTATCAGCCCAGTAAAGGAAGATAATTATGTTATTCCAAGCAGAAGGAAGGCAGGAGACAGACCCTAAAGGCCCTAAAAGCTAAGTTGAGCAGGCTGTATTTTATCAAGATGGTAATGGGCAGCTGCTGAATAGTTCTAAGCAAAGAACTAATCAAGCTTGCATTTTAGAAAGCCTGTTCTGGCCACAGCTGAGAACAGATTCAAAGCTGAAAGCCTGGAGGCACACAGACCAGTGAAGATGATGTTATATGATGGTTTAAACTAGAAAGGTATCAGTGAGGATTAAGAAACAGGTACTTTTGAAAACTATGAGGTGGTAGAGTTGACACAATTTAGTGAGAAATAAGCCAAGAATAACTGAGTTGAGTAATTGAGTGGACGACAGTTCAGTTCCCTGAACTAGGAAACACATGCAGAGATACTGTTTTGAAGGGAAAGATATTAAATACATGTAGTTTTAGAGAGCTGAGGCTCCTATGAGATAGCTAAAAAGGTCAGCAGGCAGTTATGTGGATATGGAACAGAAAATTTAGGTTGAGATTTTGAGTGTGAGGTCCCTCTCATATAATCTATTTTAAATCTATCTACATAAAGGCTAAGATCAGGGAGGCAGCAATCTAAGATAGATAGGTCTTGTCCATTTATAACACATTCAACTTCTTTGTTAACAGTACAATCCTTTTCTCCTAGTTTTCCTATTTCAGCCACTATGGCATTTCACTGGTTATGTTCCCTGATGTCACAGGTATCAGTGGGCTTTTCCTTTCTATGGGCGGTCTTCACATCACACTCCTCTAGTCTTATTATTATTCTGATCTACCTAGAGGTTTTCAAACTTGAGGGCTTACCATGATCACTTAGACTTGTCAGACTGGGGTGCCTCATCTCCAGAGTTTCTGATTCAGTAGGTCAGGAGTGGGAGCCAAGAATTTGCATTTCTAACAAGTTCCCTGGTGATACTGAGAATTACCGAGCTAGTCGATTTCAAAGTAAACTTCATAAATTTTTGGCATATCTGTCACCCATAGAGCTAAATGCTGCATGCCAGCCCTCTTACTCATTTCTCATTTGTTCTCAGCTCTGTATCTACAGAGGCTGTTACAAGTCTTGCTCTGACTCAGGCTTTCCCTTTCTTTTGTTAAGTAGTCCTTGTGAGATTAGGGACCATTAACGGAGTCTACAAACTCTAAGAGCAACAGTACATCCTAGCACTGCTAGGTGCTGAGGATGCAGAGACAAAAACTTGTCCTGCTTCTCACTCAAGGACCCTGACCAAGGTCTCACAGGGAGGCAGGCAGGTAAATGGACAACTGGGGCAACAAAGGAAGTCTATGGTATTAAAGGTTCTCAAAGCCAATACATACAATTTACACCTCAATAGAAAAAGAATTCCAAAGTTAATGAAAATATCAATGAATAAAATTATTTTTCTCCTTTTCTGCTGTTCACAGATTTTCTCTAACATATCATTTAAGTAATTAAAAAACTAAAATAATTTTTGAAAACCTTGTAAGCAAACCAAAATCTATGAAGTGATTTGCCCACATTTACCAAATCACCTCTTTCTAACCTCATTATTATGAAATCTGGGGAAGATACAGTGTTGTAGACACTGTTACAATATACACTGTTATCCTATACCCCTAGGATAAAGTACAAACTTCTCAGACCTAATCTAGCCCAATTCTGTCTCTGCACCTCTGTAACTGTATAACCCACAATTCCCCAGTGAGCCTTTAACTCCAGACCATTCTTCAGTTCTAACTCTGTGCCTTGTTCTCACGTACCTAAAGCACTTACCTTCCCTACTAACTATTCCCACTGCCCTCAAATATTTGCCCTTCACATTCCAATTCTGCTTCAACATTCTCCATGAAACCTTCATAAGTATATCCAACTTATCACAATTTTTAACTCTGACAGAGACTTGTCTTTGCCACTTACTTCCACCCTCAACTATCTGC